CCCATGACCTGTTAAAAAATTACCCTTTATATATAGAAAACTATGTATTTTTAGAGGAAAAGGCAACACTAGAGTTTGAAATGAAATAAAGTAGTGCAACTTAATAGTATAACTGAACTGAACACTGAGCCCTATACAGTGTTTCATTACAAGACCGCCTGCAACTCTTCTAAATTCCTCAAAGACTTATTTCCTGTAACTCTGTGAAAGGTGTGAGCTTGAGAAATTGAAAGAGTGATTTGGTCTGAAAAATAAATGGACAAACACAGGACAGACAACAAATCATACCAAACTCTTAATTTCCTTGAGGAGTGTATACTAACCAGAACAGATGGTTGAGGAGGGGGCCAAACTTCTGAAAACCCCACATTTAATCAGTTCTTGGATTTATAAATCCTGTGGTAGCAAGTTCTGGAACATGGAATCCTTATGCACAGGGGTGCTAGATCTAATCAAACCAAGTGGATGACAGTATGTTCACAACCCCAGTGCCTATATTGGAGGGATTTCCATTTCTAAACTGGTGTCTGCAACCAACAACCACTCAGCCACCTGGGTCTGGACACGTCTGATGAAGTCTAGGATCTACTGTAGATGTGAACAAGGAATCTAAGATTTTGATCCTAAAAGAAGAAGATAAAATAAGTGAAAGACTGATTTATTTGCTCCACCAAAGGGTCAAGATTAAGAATTCTTTAAACTAGCAAATGTGATTACTGTATTTACAATATGATTCACTTGATTTATTTTTAGTGGCTTGCTATACTTCTCAGAAGCATAGGGTTGACTGGTAATGAGACGTGCAGGGCCACAGATCCTCTACACAGACGAGTGACTTCAAGCCCCCGGGCGCATGGGAAGTTTGATCAGGGAGGTCTTCTCTGTGCTTCAAGCCCCTGCTTGCCAGACCTTTCTTCCTCGGCTTTCCTTCCTCTTTCCTTGTCTTTAATCTTTCCACTGCCTCCTTCCCCTCAGCCTTGAACATGTCTGAACCTCCCCCATCATTTAAAACATGTTAATAAATTATTATGAAATAAATCTTCCATATTCTGGACACATTTCTATATATTGTTCTGTATCTTTATTTTTTTTTNAATAAATCTTCCATATTCTGGACACATTTCTATATATTGTTCTGTATCTTTATTTTTTTTTTCCATAACCAAACTTCACAAACAAATGGATGCATTCACTATCCTCACTTTCTTAACCCCATCTAATCTTCACTGTCGTCTGGTTTTTCTCCGCAACACTGCACTGGAACTGTCCTCATTAAAGTCCTCAGTGGCTGCCTCTGTGCTTGTGTTCTGATCTCTCTGCAGTATTTGTCGCCGTCGGCCACTTTCTTCTTCACACTCCCTCTTCTCTTCACTTCTGCACTTCTCCGTTTCTGAGGTCTCCTCCTACCTTTGTGATTATTTCTTCTTTGTGGACTTCTTTAACCGGCTTTGCTTCATAACAGACACATCTGCTCATGTCACTAAAATGCTTCAGGGGTTACCCACTTCTTACAAGACAAAGTTGGGATGCAAAGCTCCAGAGGGTTACCCCCCCCCCGCCTCTCCCCCCCACCTGGTGACAACCCATCTCATGCTTCAGCCACATCAACCTCTTTACAGGTTCCCAAACAGGTCATGCTATTTCACGCTTCTGTACCTTTGTACAGAATGTTCTCAGCTCCACCCCCATACTCCCCTGAGGAATTCCAGCTCATCTTTTAAGACTCAGAACAAAGGTGAGCAATTCTGGAAAGCCTTGTCTGCCCCCAGACAGAGGCAGCAATCTCACCTGGGTCCCCAGCCTCTGTGACATGTCTTCATTGTAGAGCTCTGCACCCTGTTACCTCACCCGGATCCTGGTCCTGCGAGCACAATAGGCGCTTATCTTTCTGTCTCCAGAGTTTGGCACAGCATGTGAATAGGGTGCAAGAAATGTCACACTTCTTTTACTTCTCTGAATTGAATTGAATTTACCCTGAGCTCTCTATTCGCTCCCAAGGGAAATTTAATTTCAGTCATTATTGGGGTAGGTTCCCTCCCAGGGTCAGGTGGAAGTCCCTTGTGACTTGTAGGATACAGAACATGCAAAGAGGGCTCTCCAGATTCTGTCTACTTCGCCACCACATCAGGCTCATTGTCCAAACCCACATGGAGCCACAAAGCAGATTCTTCTGAGACTTGAGCCTGGGTATTTTTTTCAAAGGGGTTCTCAAGGTCACAGCCCTTGATGTTTAGTCACTTATACCCCACCGCCACCTCTCATCCCCCTCTGCAGCCCCATCGCACGTGCTGTTGCAAAGCAGGGTTCAGGTGATCACACTTCATGGACACCCACAATGATCCTGTTCTTCCTCTTGTTTTCAGGGACTCCCTCAGCTGCCAGTCAGGCTGGCGCCCTGGGAAATGCAAAGCCCCAGCACAGAGCAGCACAACTCCCCTCAACGAGCACAGGCAGCTGAAACAGAAACAGGAATAAGGATGTCGAAAATCTGTTTCAGCCCTGCAACAGAACAGCTCCCAAAGACAGGGGCATCACAGGGTCCTGCTACCTTCTTTAGACAGAGAAGAGCACCCACAGCCAAGAAAACAAGACACGGATGAATATCGATAAATTAGTCTGCCATGTAATCATCCATGAATTTAATTACTTCATTAAAATACAGAAATGTACATAAAAAATCATGAATGGAATTGCTCTCCTACAAAAAGACACCTCCACCTGGCAGTCCTCCACTCAGCCCAATCCTCCTTCTAGTTTCTTCCCCAAAAAGGGAGGCCTAAAATGTCTGGGATCCTCCGTCTGTGGCCGGGGAGCACCACTCACATGGCTGAGTTTATCTGAGCTGCTGACTTGGGTTGCTGACGCAGTGCATTTGCAGCAGCTGCACTAACCCACTTTCTCTCATGGATGATTTTAATCTCTTTAATTTTTGCCCAGCCTGTGAGAAAACTGAAAGCATGATTGGGAGGGGGTGGGAGATAGAAGTTACAGGTCATGAGTTGAGTGGCGGCTAAATCCTGTGGGAGGAAGCCAACGCAAGTGTAATCCTTTCAGGAAAAAAGTATTACTGGAGAGGAGAAAGCTGCCAATGTAACTTTGTTCCAAGAATAAATAGCACATTTTTCCTCAGTGTTTGCTTTTCTCTCTTTGATCCTCTTGAAGCCCTCTGGAAATGCCTGACCAGCAATTTTTTCTCCCCTCTGAGGCTGGGAAGAAGGAGCCACAAGCACTCGCTTGAGATTCCTCAAATGAAGGCATAGGTAGGGGCTCCCAGGCAGCGCCAGAGCCACCAGGCTGTGGAAGCTGCGATCCAGACGTTTCCGTGAAGTTTAATCACCACAAATATGCCATGGAGTTTCCAACATGCTGTCATGATGCCCAGAAGCTGTTTAATGGGGAATTATAATGAACAGGGTCTAGTTGACCAAAGCCACTGTGATCCACAGGAGTTTGAAAATGGGAAAGAAAAGGCAAAGTTGGAGTGGGTTAATGTTTAGCTTTGGTCCCAGGCGACAGTAAGTGCGTGCACACAGCGAGGCTGACGAGAGCACATGTCCTTGCCATGGGAACTTTACTTTTCAAATGCTCTAGAAACCACAGTCCCTAGTAACACAGTTTCCCCTTCTCTTCCCAGATAGCTTCATTTCAAGGGACTTGTGGGCAGGGCAATGCCAGTGAAAAGCCTCGGCAGCAGACAGACCTAAATTCAATTCTTGTTCTCCCACTTGCTACTGGTGCTGGGTAAGGTAGGTGAAGTGCTCAGTGCCCTCATCTGTCAGATGGGAAAGATGATACTTATCTCCTAGGATGGTCGTGAAGAACATATGAGATGATGGGTGCAAACACTTAGCATCATGCTTGACCCTAAAAGTTGAATAATTGTCTATTCCCTTCCACCACTGCCTCTCCATAGCGTATCATTCAAATTGGAAAATACTAAGCACTGATGAATGGAAAGACTTGTATCAGGCTTACACAGGGAGCCAAGAAGTATAAAACTCAGTCAATGGGAAACAACATTCAAAAGGAAGTTTCAAGCCTGAAAAGTGTCAAATAACAGGCTCACGTGATATCATAAAACTACATATGAGACACTGATCAGTGCGCAGTCCTGACAGTCCGAGGGGTCCCCCAGAGCATAGAGGAATCTGGGGGAGAAAATGGAGAGGTCTGGACAGAAAGGCAAAGAACAACTAGGCATATTTTGGAAAAGCTGATAGACTTATCTGACTTAAGTAGGAACCCCCTAGGGGACTTTTGGGAGACATCTGGAAAGGAAACTGGGAAATGTGGTGGGTTAAAGATGGTGTCAAATTCTTCATCTTGTTCGCATTGAGAGGTATAGTTTACTTCTCTTCTGGAAGCTGGGCTAGCTCATTAACTGTTTAACAAAGAATGTAGTAAAAATGATGCTGTGCTATTTTTGACTAAGCCTTTAGGAGAGCCAGTAGCTTCTATTTCCTGCTTCATGGAACTTTTGCTCTTTATGTGCTACCTCTTAGAACACAGCCATCATGCTGTGAGGAATCCAAGCCACATAGAAAAGCCATGTGTAGACTCTCAAAAGCCTCAGCCAGATAGTACAATAACAGTATTCAGCCAACAGACAGTAATAAGAGCAGTCATGTGAGCGAGCCATCTTGCATATTCCAACCCAATCAAGCTCTCAGATAACTCCAGCCTCATTTGGTACCACACTGAGCAGAAGAACCACCCAGCTGATCCCAGTCAACCCACAGAATTGCAAAAGATAATAAAAAGATACTTGCTATTACATACAATTTTGGTGGTGGTGTATTATACAACAGTAGGTACTTGAGATAAGAAGGGACTTGTGGGAGGCATTGAACACTAAAGTCTACGTTCATCATCATCATCACCACCACCAATTATCACCATTATCATGATCATGATAGAAACTATTATTAGTAAATGATCACTATGTGCCAGGCACTATGTTTTAAGTTTTTAATACATACTTTTAAAATTTAACCTGCTTATAGCCTGTGAGGTAGGTACTATTATTTATATTTAATAGTCAAAAAAAACCCCACTAAAATTTAGAAAGCTTTAGAAATCTGGTCAAGATTATACAGCCAGAAAATAGTACAGAC